TCCTGCACGATGCCTTTTCTCAGCGTTTTGCGTCTGTCTGGATCAATGCAATGTGGAAATATATAATCAAACCTGCAGGTTTTCCAGTGACAGACAATCCAACAGAAAATAAACATCGCTTCCTATATGCAAAGTAGCTGTGAGTGCCATGTGATTTGACCAATAAAAATGATCAGCTAGTGGAGTCAAGGTCTCACTGGCCTCTTTTAAAAACACACCCTGTGCCACATACAATTCTTTTAATATCCATACATTCACCCACTGCAATAGAAAGTCTCTCAAAAGCAGACTCCTGGAAAAGAGCTTCATGTACCTGACCTTTTATGTAGACAACAGGTGTTAAGTGACATCCTACACAACAGCAAAATGTTCCATTTTTTCTTAACACGAAACATGAAATAATAAAAATGCTTTAGCATCAATAATTATGATGTAACACTTCCGGTACTTTAGACTGTATGGTGCTATGCATCCTGGGAAACTGCCAGTCACAGAAACAAACTGGTATCCTTAATGAGTCAGACATACTTCTGTCATGGAGGTCGCTACCTAACCCAGAGCCGAAAATTAAATAAGTAATATCAGAGAACAAGCTCCTTCTGTGACTTACAGTAAGTCCCGCTTTCTTGTTTTCCATTCTGATGAGTCCACATAGATCACAGTGCTGGTGCTACAGTACATCTATGCAAGAGTGTCTTCATTTTCCAGAATTTTGTTTACAAATATGGGACTGGTCACAACGAAAGATCTGCTTAAACCAGCCCTGATCTCCAAACACCTTCAATATATCAGAATGTTAAATCTCTCTTCTCCTCTTCCACACAGCTGTGGTCGGTCGCTACTCCCGCCAAGGCACACTTCTGTGAGTCATCGTCAAACCTCAGCTTCTCACAGTCAGTTAACTAGATCCACAAGGTCTCCAAAGACGTGCAGTGTTGCCCTGTGTCGAATGGGCGGAACATTAGCAGTTAGCCGCACAACACGACAGCTGCTCCTGCGGAATTGTTGGGAACAACGGCAGGCGGGTGGGATCCAGCTCGCCCAGGGGAGACAGCTGGCATGTGATCAGTCCATTTCTGAGATGTGGTGGTAAAGGCCTGATAGAGGACCACTTCTCCCACAAAAACCTTTGGCCAATTACTGAAGACCTCAAAGAACAAGCATGTCCTGAAGGCATAGAAGCGAGAAAACTGTGGAATGGATTTGGCCCCCTCTAGCACCTGCTGGAAAATACTCAGAAAGAAACTATTCAATTGGTCTGTTGAGAATGTTCTCTGGCAACATGTAGGACTGTTGGATGCAAAGCAACAGAATCCTATCGCATCTATGCAGGCAGGTATTTCAGGCCTGGGGTTGGATTAGGGTTCTGTGATTGTAGAATTTGCACATTTGCACGTTCTCCAGGTACTTCACTTTATTTCCCCAGTCCAAACACATGCATTTAGGTTAACTGCTGTTTCTAAATTGCCCATAGTGTATAACTGACATAGTGTGCAATCTGACGGCCTATCCTCAGGCTATCAAACTACTTAACAATTAATTGGTCGCTCCTTACTCATGCACCATGAACTTTATTTTGAGCTGTGTTCCCCCTAGCATTTCACTGCAGGTTACAGTTGAACTGTATACCTAGCCAGTGACAAAGCCCTTGAATCCCCCTTGCGTCCTTGATGGCCTAGCATCCTGGCCAGGTTGTACCCCTATGCTGCCTCGGACAGGCTTCAGACCTCTCCAAGATCCTGGCCAGGATAAGCAGTTGGAAGATGTACTGTATGGATATTTCAACAGAGCAAGGCTACTTAGAGATACAACAGTAAGACTCATCCATCCTGGGACATACACCACCAAATATATGGTACTCATTCAAACTGTATGTCTTGGTACTACCTGCAAAATAGCATAATTTCAAAAATGTATTGCCATACAGAACTCAACAAAGAACTCAGCTCAGAAACAGCTTTCAGACAAAATAGGAAGTCAGCAGTCATTGTCCAGACTGGCTAAAAACTTGCCAGTACCAGGTTACATACTGTGAGCAGTTAAGGGGAAAAGACCAACAAATGCACCTAAACTGGCCTACCAGCCCAGCATAGGCTCCAGCCCCCCAAATGGCCCTGACCAGGGGAAGCATTAAGAAGATGGATGGATGGATGAATCGATGGATGAAAATATACTGGTCATACACACCATACGTCAATCCAGAACAGCCTTACATTAGCTAACATCCGACATGCTGTGCAGCTATTCCATCTTGTTATTCCTACTGGTGTGGTTATGGTCACTTTCATCAAACACCTTTTTGCCGAAATATCAGTGTGGTGTAATCGACATAGAAATCAATAAATAAGCTTTTTTTTTTGCCTGTACGAACACTTCAAAAGCAGTAAGCGTGGGAATGAATGGACAATGGCTTTCACAAACGGAGAGTTACCCTCCTGGGTGTCTTCTTGTGCCGCTGTGGGTTCCCACACAGGAAATACCTCAGCTAGCACAAGGCAGCTTATCGCCTGCAGGGCTGTGTTCACAGTGGATGACGCCTCTTGGCAGAGGTCAGGCAGGTCTGTGACATCGACTCCCGTAAACCCTGCAGGCTGGATGGCTGTTTGCCGAAACCTCTCCATCTTCAGGAGTGCAACCTGTGCTTAAACGTCTGCTTGTAGCTTCCTGTCACACATGGATGCCCATGGTTTATAAACCAGGTCAATGCTGAAAGTTGAATTAAGATTAAATTGCATTTTCAGCGCACTGCTACAGCACACAATGCAGAGCATGGACCGGGTGCGGGAAATACTTAAAGCAAGAGCACACACAGGAACTCCAGAGCAGCTGGTCTCGGCCCTGTGTCATGAAGCAAGATTTCTTGCCTAGCCAGCTAATTTGGCGTATTTTTATTTATTTTATTTATTTATCCTTTATTTTACCGGCTCGCTTGCCCCGCGATCGTGACACAAACTATACATAGAATAAAATGTATTTATACGAAACAATGACACTGTTCTTTAAGTTCAGCGTTTAAGAGATTTTTAAACACATTCAGAGAAGGCAAGGAGTCCAAATTCAATATATTTTGTAATATGTTCCACTGATGTGGTGCATAACAACAAAAGGCGGATTTCCTCAGTTCTGTGCGTGTGGTGGGAGGCTGAAGGAGAAGTTTGACTGATGAACGGGTTCTGTATGTATTAGTGTGGAATGTCAGCAAACTACATATGTACCGAGGTAAGTTGCCCATTAAAGCCTTTGCCATAAAAACCAGGCAATGCATTTTCCTTCTAAGATGTAATGATGTCCACTCCACCATCTCATATAGCTTACAGTGATGTGTTCGTACTGTTGCACCAAATTGACAAGTAACCAAACATCAGGAGGTACAAAGATTACATAAGATCAATACAGATCTAAATACAAATAGGGACAAGTAAGAACAAACGTGTAAAACAAGACCCAGCACAGAAATACAAACACAGGAGGACTTAATTAACATGGGGATATATCCAACTGAGTACTGGGGCAGAGAACTCAAGCCCCAAACCCATGGTGGTAAGGTTATATGGTTCTCCACTGCACACTTAGCCCGTTCAAGCATGCGGCAGCCTGGGAAGCAGAGAGAAACACACAGGACAGAAAGGTACTAAACCCAGGAAAGGATGGGATGGCCAGCAACACCTGCAGGCCAAATGGGGAAACAATGGAACAAATGGGACAAGATGGGGACTGATCCTGACACCCCACACGAAAGAAGGTTTAAAACCCTAACCTGATAAGGATAGATGTGAGTATAAATCAGGTATATAAATGCCAGCTAAGAAGTTTACACCAGGGCTGCTGGTGTTGGGGGGTGAAGCGAGGACGGGTATGTTTTCTGGGACGCAACATGGCCTCCAGAAAATCAATTCCTACAGCTAAAACAAGGGGGAAAGTGTTTGTTATATAAGCATTTCCAGTTAATAATCCGTTTATATTGTAAGAGCGGGCTGTTTTTACACAACTTTTCCATAGGCTGCTCCCTCGTATTCACATCAGATGCCCAACCAGGCCACAGTCCAATACACCACTTTTCCCCATTTTTCCTTTATGTTCTGGTAATATTATCATAAGATTGTTTGAATGAATGTCAATCTGCATTCCTCCGGTGGCGTTACACAACACGGACTAATAAATGCCATTCGACCGCGAAACAATGTCCAAACAGCGAAGTTTGCTAGAAACTGACACGGTTTTATCAGCAAATAACCGTAACTAAGCGTGTCTGCGAAGGTTTTAAGAATTAATGAGAGAGGTAAATAAAAAAATTAGATGCATTTCTGCTCACAGAAGCACGGAGCACACTTGATATAATCTAGTGGAAAAACCTTCCTTTGTTAGGGTTTGCCTGGTTGTTGGAGATAACGCTTCAAACCAGACTTTTAAACAAAAAATGCTGCTTTTCTCGTTATCGAACACTGCTTTTTAAAGCGCGGTTGACAGTATTTTTTTTTAGAATAAAATTGGTGAGAAATTACATGTACTGTCAATAAAGTCCAAATTCATAAGAACCGTCAACAGAAAAGGTCCCCTAGCGAACTCACCAAAAGACTATTTATAAAGCCAGATACTTATAACAGGGGACACCGGCGCATTGGCCAAATGTGTTCGCCATGAAAACTCCTATGAATACTCGGAACAAGTACTCTGAAACAGCCCGTGTCAAACGATGAAAGTGAGGAATAAATACCAGATAGTAGATCAGGTCATACAAAGAGTGAAATAATACCAATAACTAGAGTAAATAGTAATGCAAGCTGACAGTAATACAGCCTGTACTACAGATGTTTACAGCGCAGTACACTGACACTCGGCGAATTTATTGCGGTGGAAGAGACCCGCGTGCGTTTGCGACGCATTCCGAGGCCACGCCCACATGTCCGCCCCCTCCTTAGGCTGAGAACCAATCAAACGTCGTAAAATAGCATCGAAGGACCGATACCTTTATGCGCGACTCAGAAAGCGTGAGCGAGTGTGAGAGACGCGGAGTTGGGTGAGCAGTCGTGGGAGCGCAATGTTCACATGTAGTCTGCAACTTACGGCTTCTGCAGCACCACTGCACACAGACCAGCACTGCTTTCCTGAAGTATAACTCGATAAAGATCTTCTCATCCGTTCATTTCTTTCCCTGACAGAGATGGATAGAACCGGCGTAAGAAGTCAAAAATAAGGATACATCATCCGAATGCTGGGTACGTTCATGTCATCTGCAGTTTTAGGTGACTGCAACAATTAACTAAGGCGAATCCCTAATGCGTTTATTGCAGAAGAAATGGAGAACTTAGAATGTGTTTTTTTTTATTTCCTCTGTCCTCCGTGAATTAAATTCAATACGTGGTTAAAGTTTTGTACTTTGATACTGGCTAAAAGATTAAAAGCACATCCACAGAGATTTGACCTTCTGTCATTTATGTATTTGGGCCATTAGGCTTTGGAAAATGGCGTTTTTGCTACCCCTGGACTTCCAGAATAACTTTCTGTGTGTCAGATATTTTTCTTTTTCTTTTCACCCCGGTTTCTCATATTTACTGACAGACTAAACTGCTGACCAACTAAAAACGGGCAAAATGGACATGCGCCATAACATATCAAGCTACGAGACAGAGATGTATCCTCTGGCTACCGGTTTATGGCTGACGCTGCTCTTGGCCATAATCTTTATCACCATCACCATTGTGTTGGGTAACCTGCTGGTGATCACGGCCATTGCCCACAATGCCTCGCTGCAGACCACCACCAACATCTTCATCACGTCACTTGCCTGCGCCGACCTTATTGTCGGTGTGGTGGTAGTGCCCCCCGGGGCCGCCATACTGCTGGGGGGGGAGTGGCCCCTAAGCAGGATGGCCTGTGATCTCTGGACATCGGTGGACGTGCTGTGCGTGACGGCCAGCATCGAGACGCTGTGCGTCATTGCTGTGGACCGCTACGTGGCCATCACGCGGCCGCTCCGCCACAAAGCCCTGCTGAGTAAGCGGCGAGCCCGGCTAGCTGTATGCGCTGTCTGGCTTGTGTCGGCACTCATCTCCTTTGTGCCAATCATGGGCCAGATGTGGCGTGATGCCGAAGACACTGAGGCGAAACGTTGCTATGACAACTCGACCTGCTGCGACTTCATCACCACCAAGCCTTATGCCATTGGCTCCTCCGTGATCTCCTTCTACGTCCCCCTGCTGGTCATGACCTTCCTCTACGTCCACGTCTTCCTCGTGGCCAGCCGGCAGGTACGCCTCATACGGAGGAGCCAGCAGCGGTTCCGGGAGAAGTTCGCGTCAGAGGCCCCGTCTGAGATGGCGTGGCACGGCGAGGCGGAACAGGGCAGGAGCAAGAGGAGGTCAACCCACCTGGTGGCGGTGGGAGAGCACCGGGCGCTGAAGACGCTGGGCATTATCATCGGCACCTTCACCCTGTGCTGGCTGCCCTTCTTTGTGGCCAATGTGGTTAGCGTCTACAAACGCAAAGTGCTGTCCATTCTGACCTTCCGCCTACTCAACTGGATGGGCTACCTCAACTCGGGGCTCAACCCCATCATTTACTGCCACAGTCCTGAGTACCATGCTGCCTTCCGGAGCCTGCTGCTGGGGCCCTGGCTACCATCCGCCACACTTTACAAAGGCCTCAGATCCTGGTGCCCCTGCTCCCCGGGTCCCAAAGAGATAGGGGCCCCCAGGGGGGGGCTTCTGCCAGAGCCGCCTGCTGTCTGACCGTGGCTGATGATGATTTAGGACCTCCGCAGGACTCACGGGGAAGGTGAGGCACGCCTTATCGGCACAGTTTGCCGTGTGTAAATGTTCTCACGTTCCGTAACTCATGCACCAGCTTCATTTACATTGCCCCCCCCATACTTTTTAAGCATGTCTCTGCCATTCTGTCTCAAATGTAGCTAATCTGAGACTTTTCCATTCAAATAATCTGCCCATTGCAAATACTTAAAACTCAGTTTTGTTTATTTTCACCTTTTACAAATAATGCAGGATTTTGAAGAACACTGTGTTCAGACAATATAATTGCAGTATTTTGTACATATTATGGTCCATTAATTAATTGGTTAAGCTTCGGGAGTAGATTGGTGTGAAAACCAACAAGCTCACCTGCCAGTATTTGCACATTTAGGTGACACTTGGTTGAATGTGATTTACTTTGGGTCCTGAAAGATTTACCTTGGCTCCCTGTAGGAGTTGTTTGGTGCTAATTTTAGTTATTAAATGCTTTGAGGCAATTATTTGTACTCTGCGTCATCTCTTGATGTTTCTGGGCTCAGTTGAGTGAAAATTAAATTGTTTTCTCTACGTGAAAGCCAAAGGAATTCACGTCTGGCAAGATGGAGTACGGCCAGATCTGAATAGCAGGGGAATCAAAAATGCAAAAACTTGACAAAAAAGACATTAAACTTATAGAATTCTTTAATATAACCTTATAGATGGTTATGGCAGATGTTCTGAAGAAATTTAGTGCATTTGTTTTATAAGGAACCCCAATGAATTGACTGGGGTACAGTCATTTGACAGCAAAGGTGATACATGCTCAACAGTAAGACTGTTTACGAAAATGCACCAGATACAAAGTCAAATGATATACAGAAACTGACACAAGTTTCTATATCTAGCTTGGTAAGGAATAAGATTCACCTTAATTGTTAATACATTTCTGAGTGTACCCCTACAAAACATAGGAAGCTGATCTGAAACCAAATGCTCTCATTTGAAGTAGTTGTTATGATAACCAACTTTCAGTAACACTTTACTTGAGGGGACACAAGTAACTTAGTAACTCAGTTATTACTCATATACTAATCATGAACAAATGTAGTAACTGCATGAAATGCACGAACATGAGACCAGTACGTAACTAACACTTGGTTTTTGGTGAAGTAAGCGTGTACTGATACATTATGTGTGCCCCCTGAAGTAAGGCGTTACTGTGTTACCCACCTTTGTAAAAGTAATGAGAGACTTTTTACCTCAAGAGACTTTTTACCAAATGTTAAATAAGTCTTTGTTACCTGCCTCAGTTTAAATCATATATGAATCACAATTTGCAAGGGATCCAGATCATCATTTTTCTTCTTCGTAAAAGAAACCGGGGAGGCTGATTTTATTTACGCTCACTTGTGTGACTAACCAATCAGATGTTGGTTAAGTAAGTAATTGCAGTTTTTACATCCACGTAACAGCATCCTATATATAAACCATGTGACAGACTTGGTGGTTCCCCAGCTTGTAGTTTCCTTCATTTTGGACTTTTCAAAGAGCTGTTGAAGTACGGATTACAATCAAACTCTTGGACGCTGTATTGTCTGTGGAATAGTACATTCAGTAATACTAGTATTTACTTTGGTGTGAAAGGAGTTCACGCTGCTGTGGTGATTGAGTGGATCCTCAGAAAGTGTCACTAACTGCATGAGCATTAGCTACACCTGGGGGGCTGTTTGTGGCTCAGGGATCTAAGTCTCTTTCCCTGTGATCAGAAGGTCACTGGTTCAAATCCAACCTCAGCAGAATAGTCAATTGTCTGTGGGCCCTTGAGCAAGGCCCTGAAACCCCAGGTCAATGGGAACCTCTTTAAGTGGCTGCCCTTTGCTGACAAGCTTGCTCTCACCTATATCTGTGTCCATGTGTCAGGGGAAGCATGATGGGGTAGGTGAAAATAGAAGTTTCATTATTACTATATGTACACAAAATACTTTACATATTACAAATGGAGGGGGATGTAGTTCAATGGCAAAAACTCTAATTTAGTCATGGCCTCAAGCCCTGTGCATGTTGCGAAATCCAACCCCCCCCCCCCCCCCCCACAGACACACACATATGGGTTAAACTTAAATAAAGGCCACCCCAACAGTCTGAAAGGGACATCAGCAATCCTGCTGGACTCCTGTGACATTCAGCAGGGTGCAGGCTAGGTACGATGGGCCTGATCCATAGACAAAGGTCAGTGTACGTATAAGCTGTGATCTCAGCTAAGGTGTGCATTGGGGTCTCATTACACCAGCTAAAGAGAGTGAAAAATAGTGCAATTACCACTCGCTGTTTGACAACGTAACTATAGCTGAGCTGGACTGTGTCACTGAACAAAATAATATAGCTACTGAATTTGACAGGACAAAGAAATCATTACAAACCATGTGTTTTTAATTCCCGTATAAACATAGCAAGTATGTTTTCACAATCACGTACATCTTCTAAATTTGACTGCTACAGGCTAACTGCTGCTTCTTATAATCTTCTTGTCTTGTGTCATGGAAAGACATAATTCATCCATCGTGAGGCTTTTTTTTCCACTGGAATCCTACTTTCATTGATGCTTTTCAGCACCGTTTGGCTTGCCTTATTCAGTGATCCTGTTGGACTTTACATTTATACAAATATATATATACTTTACATATATACATAATCACAGTTTTATTCAGCAAGCATGAGGATACTGGCATATTGAAATGTGTATTTCTTACGATGTTTATATCACAAAGTCCAAAATTATCCTTTTGTCTAAATACAGGTGGGATAGATGGGTTACAATGTCGGCAGATCAGATCAGCTGAGCCGCAGCACCCCAGTAGTGCCTAAAACGTTTAACATCCTTGCTGTCCGCATCGAACCTCTGCTCTCGAAATGGGAACACTTCTGAGTGTGAATGTCTGCCTGTCCCTGAGGTCCTATGGCTCAACAGTTGCATTTTCCAGGAAAATGAAAACCCACTGCATAATGTGATAGTACATGGCTGACAGATTGATTTTTTACTAAAGAAGTTCTCTACATTACTTTGTGTAAATGGTGATTAAGCAAATACACAGACTTCATCCCCCCATGCATCTTCCATGATCAATCAGTTAAATTTAAAATACTGTGCTAATAATAACTCAGACTCAAAATAATAAGCCTCAGACCGATAATATTTTAATTTCTTATTTTACTTCCCATTAAACATAGACTTCAGCTGTTACGGTAATATTTAATCTGCCTGCAGCAGGTAATGCCAAGGTCGTGGGTTTGTTCCTTGTACTTTTTCTGAAATTTCCTTCTGGATTAATGAATTACAGTATCTGTCTATAGATCTATCATATTTTAGAAGACTGAAACATAATACTGTCTTTATATCTCCAGTTTGCAGGACAAGACACCTGCAAGCCAACTGACTGTCCTGGATACCCTGACACCACCATGGACCTACCAAAGTGCATTCTGATTGGGCATCTCAGCGCTGCTGATGATGTTTCTTACCAACCAACGCCCCAGGCCCCTATCACCAGCTGATAGCACTTCCATAGTGCGCTGGCTGATACCGCCCTCTAGTGGCCACAGTCTCACACTCTCTCATCATGCTCAACACAGTCTCAAGAGATTTTTTTTATCAGCTGGTGGTACAATATGGACGACCGACGCAATGATTGGGTTTTGATTGACAGGAGCAAATGTAGCATGAAATTTGCAGTGGAACTTGTCTTAAATTATTTGGTATCAGTTCTTTCACTGTGTTTATCTCCAGACATGCTGACATCATTATTGAACAAGGTCTCGACTGAGATATTTACTTGCTTTGCATGAACCCATCTGCCCTTAAAAGGAAGGCAGACATCCCATGCCCATATTCAATGTGGACATTCTGCCTTGGCATTCCGAATAGGCTTTCAATGGAAACATTGTTTCCAGGTGTTCCACATGGATGTTCCATACAAATATTCCTTGCCGGTGTTCTGTATGATCATTCTGTGCAGATGTTCCATGTTCAATAAACACAGACCAATCGGCAACTGCACAGAAGCAGTGTCAATCAGAGACTGCAAAGCCACAAGGAGACCTCTCGTCTACAGATACTGTAACATCAGCCCAATGCATCATACTGTACGATGGTTGGAACTGAACCTCACAATAAAAATGGCTAATGACAATGGAAAAATCTACGTATATCATACATTGTTTTTGAAGTTGATTGGAGTTACAATAGACTAAAACTTCTGGAGAACTCATTACTATATTTTCAAGTGACCAGATATTATAATAGAGAATACACATGGAAGGGAACACGCTGAGCATTTTCTGTGCTATGGTGTTGAAATCTGTGTCATGAGTCTTAAGCTGTGATGGTTTTGGCTTTTTTGTAAAGTGATCCTTCTTTTCAGATGTTCCTGCCAGATCTTGTCATAGAGGCTGAGAATCAGCCAGAGCAAGATTCCATATGAGGTCAGATCATCTCTGCACCCAAATCTATGGCCAAAACCTGGAAAAATAATCACATAGTTTGACTGCAGTTTTGCATAGAGGCTATTCTCCACAAACGATTCAGAAGGACATAGAGGTTGGATTTTAGATTGAGCAGCTGGCTCAAAGCTATAATAGTATTGTAGCTCCTGCCAATGCAGTAATTATTTGCACTGTTCAGAGGATACTTTTATCCAAATCACTTATGTAGCATAATTACACCGTTTGCTTATTTGCACAATGGGATATTTTTAAACTTATTCAGCTATAAAACCACACAGTGGCTGAGACGAGACCCCACGGTGTTCTGGTGCCTGCTGTTCAGGGACACTGTAACCCTGGGATCTGCATTCTGTTGGTGAGCCTTTGTGACACCCAGGGTGGTCGAACTGATTGCGTGTGCATGAATATGCATTTACTGCCACAAAGTATGCCAGTATATTCTGACTAATAAACAATATTTACACAGGGCTCCTTGACAATAACCTGTTCTGACTGAAAATGCTATTTTTTTCTCTGGCTTACTGATGGTATTCATTAGAAAGTATAAACCACTATATTCAAATTGCTCCCATGAAGTGAAAAAAACGTGAATGACGTGAGGAGAAAAGGGTGCTGGGTCCAGCAGCTAAATGTTTGAGTGTGTGCCATTCACAAAAACAAAAATACAGCCAGTAATTACAGAGTCACTACCAAGTGAATTACCAGGTCCAAAAACATTTAAGATGAAACACTTGAGGCTCTGTTGCTGAGCTTACTGAGTTTGGCTACACTTTGACGCTTGCTCTGTGAAATCAGGAAATCTTTATATGGTAAACATAAACGAAACATAAACTTAATTAAGTCTGTTCATCAATCTTTCTTTTAACTAATGGGGGGTGTTCCATGAAGCAGGATTTCTTGCTTAGCCAGATAACTTATTGGGCTAAATGGACTTAATGTTCTTTCATTTACATTTAGCCCAAACTACCTTAAATCCAAGAAGTTATCCAGCTAAGCAAGATATCCTGTTTCATAAAACACCCCCCTCATCTTTGATCAGGGTCGTGGGGATAAACAGAATTGATAAACAGGCCATTCCCATGTCTTGAAATGCCATTCTGTTATTCTTGTGCCTTGAGATCATAGGGCTGTCCTACTGTTACGTGCATGAGGGCTCTCTTGCAGAGTTTTCGAGCCATTTATGCACACTTTCTATAATTATGCGGACTTTATGTGAGGGAATTACCCACAATTCATAGCATTGTCATGTGAAACACGGGGTTTCCGGGGTAAGACAGGAAACGTAGACGAGGAACAAGCCATTTCTTTTAGTTTTTGTTTAATGATGCTGTTTTGACAAAAAAAAGAGTAAATTGATCATTTGCCAATGGCCTCCCTTCCACTCTGTACAGCAAGAGCCTGGAACACGATCAGATTAGGCAGTCGGTCCCTTAAATGCCTTGGTCATGAAGAAAGTGCAAATTTTTAATTGAAAAGTACTAAACCCACAATAATAAGGAACACGCTTTGGTGTTGTCAAGGGAATGTTGCAAAGTGCTGTCCCTATTTATTCCTATTTATATCATTTCATGCCCTTGCAGCCTCTTGCACTCTGTCACTTACCAGGTGATGTCAGTTAAGTCTGTGAGGGTTCAGGGCTTAAGGCTTAGGGGGGGGGGGGCATTGGGATTGGCCCCTGGTCATTTGAAATCTCTCCACTCGTTACACAGCGCTTCATTTCCATCCATCCATCTTCTCACTACATTTCCTGGTCAGGGTTTCGGGGGAGGGGCCTGGAGCCCATGTCAGGCAGCACGGGGCACAGTGGGGTAGACTCCACCCCAGGCGATATTCATGCACACGGCTGTACACTATGGAATATTTAGAAATACAGGTTAGCCATAATGAAAATGATTAAACTGCAGGAGAGAACCAGAGAACTTGAAGGAAACAGGGGAAAAAAAAGCAAGTTCCACACACAAAGAACAGCGGAGGGATTCAAACCTCGGACTCTGCTACATACTGAATCCCTGTGCCACTGTTCCTTCCATACCAGTCTAATAGCACCTTGGATGTGATTAAGCTAATGGGCTGACGCTAAAGTAGTTTGGGGTGTGATTTGTGAACCCTCAGGTAAATAGTCGTTTGTAGTTTGTCTATTGAATCATTTCTCGTGTCACAACCATGATACAACAGATGGGTGTGGCTCTGCCAGTTACCTTAGTTGCAAAGGGTAACGTGATTACAATTACTGGTTTGCCACTGACCTCCTACAAAAAAAAAAGTACATTTCAAATTTTTTTCCCCACACAGAAAAGCAGCTTGAAATCCAAGAACAGAGATCACAGGTTAAGTGTTCAGAAATGGGCGGTCAAGCTAACAGCATGAAGGTGAGCGGGATGAAATGGATCGCTCTGATTACTGAATGCAGGCAGTCGGGCTGCACATTTTCCCCGCGCTGGCAAGCTCAGCCAAAGCCAACAGGCTTACGGTTCATGACATTTATAAGTCATTAATCCCCCACCCTCCATCCTCAGAAAGGCAGTGAATAACCATGTTTAAAGACCATTACCCCCAGGCCTGAGGTTATGGAAACTAGGACCATGTGTAAATTTTCCTACTTTCCTGATACAATAGCAGGACCTATTAGAATTCTCAGGTCTTAGTGACTTCCCAGTACTCTACTGGCTGCCATTGGGTTGAACCAGCCAGTGAAAGACAAACAATAACTGTGTCACCCACAACAAATTCTAAAGACTCATTTTACCAGTTATTTGAAATGTGCTTTTTTTTTATGGGGAAGATGGTGGCACGGGAGGTAGTGCTATCGTTTGGCAACCAGAGGGTTGCAGGTTCAAGCCCTGGTTCCTCCTGACCCCATCAAAGTGTCCTTGAGCAAGACACTGAACCCCAAATTGCTCCCGGTGAGCTGGTTGGCGCCTTGCATGGCAGCCTCTGCCACTGGTGTATGAATGTGTGTGTGAATGTGAGGCATGTATTGTAAAGCGCTTTGAGTACTCGTAGGAGTAGAAAAGCGCTATATAAATGCAGTCCATTTACCATTACCATTTATTTATAGCAATTAGTCCCTTACTGGCTAGCTGGGGGCTCTGTAGATCGGGGGAAGTTACAACAACAGGGGCCCTAAAGAATCTGGAATAAAATTGGATTGTTCTGGGTTGGGGCCCAATATAAATATGCTGTCATGGAGCCCAAAATCTCTAATGTCACCCCTGATGCTGGTAGAACATACCAAGGTAAGGGGATTGTGGGGGTTGGGGGTCACAGCTGCTGCAGGTTAATTACGGGTGCAGCAAAGGAGAGGTCACTCCTGTGAGAACTTCCCCATCATTTCAACCAGTGATGAAGAGAGATCTCCTTATGGACAGGACACACATGATACATTACCTGATACATTAAAATACATTACATGATACATTAAAGGCCTAAATATTGAAATCCATACCACATTTGTGTCATCGTGTGTATCGTCTGACATTCTGCATGGAACCAAAGAACCTGAATATGTTTAACACCACTAAGAACAGTCGCTTTACAACTTTTTGATGCATCTGATGAATTTTCTAATTCTGACATCCACACACACAAACCAAAGGCAACCTGGAAGCTCAAAGTGTGAGTGAATGTATCTGCAATACTATTTTCTCAAAAGATTCTTCCCTTGGTTTACCTTGTTCTAGCGGCAAAACTAATCTTTGCAAACATGAAAGTGAGAGCTATATACACTCACCTAAAGGATTATTAGGAACACCATACTAATACGGTGTTTG